CCACCACCAATCAGTATGTGTTCAGTTTCTCCTTTCTCCTAGTGGGCTTCCTCATGCATGTATCTGCCTCGGGGAACTTACAGTTTTTCTGAATTGCTAAAATGCATTTCCTAAAATCTCCACTCCTTTTTTTAAAACACTAAGCATAAACACTAAAATTCAAGCTACACTGACAAAACCTTTGACTCGTCTTTCAAAATCAAACAATTTTCTCAAAACTATATTACCTTTGCTCAAACCCAAACACTGCTTTCAGATCACACATCAAGCCAGTCGGTACATAAACACTACTGAACAGTCATTACACGCTATAGCAAAAAAAAAAATGGAAACACTACCAGTCAAAACTGTTGCTGTCATGTTTCAAAACGTTTACTATGAATGTCATCTTTTGCATGTTGAGCTGCAAAATTGGAAACCAAAAGGCTATAGTAAAAAATTGTCTACCAAAAATGTTTGTATACAAGTATATAAACCAATATGTAATTGTTGCAGTATTCAGTACTAAACTTAAAAAACTTACTGTAAAGGACAAAGTAAAAAATTCTCATGAGAAGCATATTACAATAAAATGTTGTGTAAAATGTCGAGTTGCTACGTCTGAGAAGACCACCCTCCAGAGTGCTACCGGCAGCTCAGGTCCAGAGAGTCAAAGTCCAGACCAAGATTTCATTTCAAACTAAGTGAGTACTCTGTGACTGTGACTTGTTATACTCTAGTTGATTGAAACAAAACCTTGGTCTGGATTTTTACTCTCTGGACCTGAAGAACTTACCTACAGGAGATCGGGAGATGAGCAAAGGTATTAGAAGAGAAGAGCAGCATCCACTACAGCCAAAGAATGTTGTACTGGGGGGCCATGGTGGAGTTACAGCACTGGCCACACCACACCAGTGTGCTGCCTCCGCACTGGAGGCTACTGGATTTTCTGATAAACAGCTCAAACTGGTGAACAAGGCTGTTATATTAGGGGTTCCTGAGGTAGGACGTTTTGGGCCCCGTTGTTAAACTGAAACCATGCCATGCCTTGGGGGGGGAGGCAGGGTGGGGGGGAGGGGGTTGCTCAGGGATTCCCTGCTGACAGATAACTGATTAACTGATCTCCCTGAACATCAATGCCGGCTAGTGCAGTGCGGTCAGGTCAGGAAAGATACCCGTCATCATCCTGCAGCCTAAGCGGGGGCTGTAACCAGGCTGGAAGGCAGTGTGATCCAGAGGCTGTGCTGTCCCCCAAGGCTCCAGTCAGCAGCAAACCCTTCAGCCCTGCCCATTTGTGTGCAGCATGGTGGCCCCCTTGGCCACGTAGTGACACACGTCCTAGATGAGGCAGGTAATGGGGCTGTGAATCGCCAATGCTGGCTTATTTTGTTGTGCCACTTTTCCATTAAGACCGAGTGAAAATTGTATCACGATCCAGTGTGATCGCTCACATATTCCGGATGGGGGGGGGGGGGGATTAGAGGGAGGCATGCTGGGATATGCTGGGGCCAAGTCCAGCTCCTGGGGAAAGGCCCAGTTAGGCGGCCCACACAGAGGGTCTCCGAGCCCAGGAATGTCCCTCTTCAAATGGAAGTTACAACGTATGGTAGGACACTCCATTAAATTGTGAATATTTAATATAATAATCATTCAATTAAGAAACTTGTGTAGAAACTGCCACTGCTGATTTCTTGCGGCGGGAAACACAATATATCAACCACTGTCACAGAGAGGGGAAAAATGTCCCTACAGGACTGAGCAGGGAACATTGAACAGCCACCACCAGTTCGAGCCTGCAATTTAAAATCCCCGTCTTCAGATAGTAAAGAAGGGAGCTGCCTGTGAAAAAAATGTTATTGAAAGTCATGTAATGAAGCGGCTATGAGAAAAACAGGACAAGGGGAGCTCGGTTCATGCAACGCCGCTTTATAAATGAAACACTGCATCACGCCACAGTGCGCTCAGTGGCCAGTTTGCTCAGTGCACCCACTTGTCACTGCAAACCGCCCGCGCCTCCTAACAGCCAATCACGTGGCTGCAGCTCAATCCCCGCAGCAGGCCCTAGGGGCTGAGAGGCTCACCTGTTTCATAAGTGTCAGGGCGGCTAAAGCGTGTGATCGAGGTGATTTTAAACTTGTTGTGATTGCTGGTGCCAGATGTGCTGGTTCCAGATGTGCTGGTTCCAGCATCTCGGACTACAGTGTGTAGAGTGTGCTGAAAATGAACAGAGTGATGCACACAAAAAAAAAACTATCCACTCAGTTGCGTTTCTGTGGTGTGAAGCAGTTTGTTACTGAGGGAGGTAAGGAGAGACGGGTCGGGCTCATTAAAGCCACCATTAATGCCACACATGTAAATAACCGCCACAGAGGACTGCAGAAAGGCGTCTGTGCACATACAGTAGCAGACTCCTCTGCCCTTGCAGTTCTGGAGGCAAAAGTGGCCACTTAGTGTAAGGGCATGGAGGTGCAGCAGCAGAGGAAATGGGAGGCTGTCATTTAAGAAAGGGGGCGACTAGGAACCTCTTATGGTGGAAGTTCCAAAGTTAGATGGTTAGACAATCAGACCCTGGTGCCCACTCTAGAATGTCACTGCAGCCTTTTCTTTGACCCGACGCTCATTTTGTTCCCCGTTTCCTGAAACCAAAACAGCTTTTTGTCCCCCTGCTGTTCAGGGGTGATTTTAGGATTTTTTTTTAGGGTGGGGGGGGGGCATAAGAGGGGTCATGATTCATACTGAGGGGCCAATTCTGTCATTAAGCAATGATATGTTTTGAATTAATGAGTGGCAAGGGAGGGGGCATACCAGCGACCAATCAGCTTTCAGCTGGGGCAGGTGCCTCTCTGGCCCCGCCCCTGTATATGTCCCCTGCTGCTGCCCACTGGTTCTTTTAAATCCTGTTTCTTCCTTCCACCCTCATGTCACATGCTGTGTTTATCAATATGCATACTTGACCGTACTTGAGTTCCCACGTACCTGTGTCATGCCATCTTCCATTGGCGAAGACCAGTTCCGATACTAAGAATAGAAGTATGGAGGATGGTAAAAATCCCCGGACGTCATTCTTCACCTGGCCCAAATATTAAAGACACGCCGGTTGTGTCCTCGCCAACGAGAACAATCCCATGATTCATTGCACCTAAGGTTTGTTTTTGAGAAGCAAGTCAGCAAGAACACACTTGGCAGGAAGACACATACGTTCTTTGTGTTCTTGGTATTCTGGTTTCTTCACACTGTCCCGCCTGAGGCAATTCTTATTCAGATTATTAGCTGACCAAAAAAATTCATCCCTGGGTTGTGGGGGTGACGTACAGTTCAAATTAGTTAAGTTGGAGTCTTTATATTCCTTCGATGCTGATTTTATTCTCTCCTGTTACAAAGTATATATTCAGGTTAATAAAATCCTGTAATCATGCATTTGGCTGGATTTATAAGAAATACTAAGTTTGGAAATTTAGGAATAATTTTAATGCATTTGAATGACATTGTTAGTGTTAAAGCTGTATGTACCTTAATTATGGATAAATAAGCATCAGGTCCTATTCCATATCAGAGGTAAACTACAGTGACATCCCTGCTTCTCCTACATAAAAGAAATGAGACCCTGTCACCATCATGGTTGTGGTTATGGTCAGACAGAACATAGAGAAGAATATTCACTCACTATAGAGAAGAATATTCCGTAGTACTGTCTTTTCTTGGTGGGCTCTCATCTGAGGAACACAAAGAATGTCACTGTGAACTAGTGTATGCATATCAATCTGAGACAACAGCTACAACTGTGGGTGTGACATGAAGGTATCCGCTCTGCGGCCCTCATTTGGACTCATGATGGACTGACATCCGGTCCAGGGCATACCCCAGCCTCGTGCCCCGTGATTGGCTGGCATCCCAACGAAGGTGTACCCCAGCCTCGTGCCCCGTGATTGGCTGGCATCCTGTCTAGGGTTTACCCCACCTTTTGCCCTGTGATTGCTGGCTTCCCATCCAAGACGTTCCCTATGAAATCCCCCACGACCCTACACAGGATATGCAGTTGGATGGATGGATGGCTTGCATGTGTAATTCTGTTCAGAACTACATCTGCTTGCTAAATGCCCTGCTTACGGCCTGATGTTAACATGCACAGTTTGTACAGCAAGATGAATGTGGCAGCGTCCTGAACAGACGAAAATGCGTGTAAAAGACAAACAGACGCACGCGTGGGGGATGGGGGGGTTGGGGTTAGCGACTTTGAGGTGCCACACCTGACGTTGACGGAGATGGAAGCGTGATGTCATAACCCAGGCAGCTGGTGCAGCAGGGGCTTGTGACGTGATTGGACAGATCCCAGCGTCTAATCTTTCCGTTTCTAATGTTGAGCCCACCTCTCTTCTTTTCAAGCCTCAGATATACGCTACTGCTCCATTTCTGCTACTCGGCCAAAAGTTTCATCTTCTGCTAAGCACTCTGGGATGGAATGACCCTTTTGTGGTAATGATGGACGCTGTCTATTTAGGGTACAGCTAATGTGAATCTAAAACAGCTCTCTTACAGAATTTCTGAATCGTGTATCTTGGCATATAATGTAGCCATTTCGAGGGCAAAATGGCAAACAAAATGAATAATAATAATAACAATAACAATTATTATTACTATTATTATTATTACTAAAATAAAACAATCAAACGAATAAAGGTTTTCATAAATGGGTTTTTAAATGTCTGTTACACGATGAGATAAAACAGACACGATTCGTTTGCCTGGGCTATACCTGCCGATGTATATTACGATATGATGATGTGATATTTTATTACACTCATTTGAGAGGAATGCTGCTTAAGCAGCTATTAAATTCTGCTAAGATGTGAAATGTAAATTCCCCCTTTATGCCGAGGGAATGCTAGGAAAGTATCCGAAAGCATCTGGCAGGATTGCGGAGCTGCCGAGGACGTCGCCGTCGCGGATTCTCCGCGAAGACGCGACATCGCGCGACAGTGAAGGGAGCGCTGGCACGCGGCGCCGCCGGGGGTCCCCCACAGAGGAGCAGAACATCAGAGAGCTAATCTCTTTGAACGCTCGTCTCTTTGTTGTCTGACTGTAATCCAGTAAAAAAGCCTCATACGTCTATGAACTATAAACACTAAAGGCGCGTGTTTTTTCCCTTATTAAGATCCGGAACGGCAGAGCTGGTGAGGACAATGGTCGCTTTAATAGCACCGAAGGGCATGGAGGTTTATCACAATCGCCGAAACCATATTGCATTTACCAAGGTTACCATTGACGGCAAATTAATCACCGTCCGGCTAAATTAAAAAGTATAATCCTCATTAAAGAAGTTTCACATTTACTATACTCTTAAGTGGCTCCGTGTAAGAGCTTATCATTGGTGTACTGATAATAAGATTTTAAATATCAAGCGCTTTGTACAAAGATCACACAGGCCCTTTCCTGCGGGGCGATACGGATCCCCGTTAATTAAGGGTGTCGCCCCCCCTCGCCAGTCGCTTTCCCTGGTTACATCACGCGAGGCGCCGAATGACTGTCAAATTAAGTCTCACACTTACTAGGATTTTTCATTTACATTTTTTCTTTAACTTAATCTCCAGGAAAAAGAAAAAAGCTTGAAGCTCCCGTGCCAGCTTGCTGCCGTCTCGTGCCGCGGAGCCGTCACGAGCGCAAACGAGGCCTGCGTCCCCTTCTCAGGTAACGTCTCGCGGATCGGCACAGGCCTGCATTTCTCCTCTTTTATTATATTCAGAAAATTAATAAGTGAGAATAGTGTCTGGGTAAAAAAACAAATATAAAAGCGTGTACGTTGCGTTTATTAAAACGCACATCCTCTAAAGGTTACAAGTAGCTATTGTGGAAGTACAATGTGTGAAATGTAATTAAAGGATGTGCGCGCGGGCTAGCCACCGCGCCCCGCTCCCTCATGCAATATTCGCTTCTCCCCCAGAAACTTATTCTCTCAGAACTAATTTTGCATGACATATTGTGTTTCTGGCTCAGCTATCATGAGTCTACCTGTGAATTAAACAGGGTTTGATATAGAGCAAATCCAAAGATTACACTACAGGCAAGCAGATGTCGCATCGCCATGATTTATTCATTTCGGCCAAACGGAGGCCGGCCGCGTCACGTGCGATCGCATTCCTCCTTGCCGTGCAGCCACCGCCGGCAAGGGGGGAATGCAGATGGGTTCGAAGGCGAAAGGTGGGGGTGATGGATGGTTAGACAGTAATGGCAGTTGACGAGATGATTGACTGAATGCTGCAGTTGGATTAGTAGGCTGTCGAGCACCGCTGTATCTGTCCTATTGGCTGAAGATGTCTCTGAATGTGATCTACTTCGCTTTTACATTTGTTTACATCTTTTACATGCATTATTCTTATTTCTGTTATTGTTCTTGATGCTAGCATATTATATTCACGCTGAAGTATGGAATAGCGACGAATAAGTTAATGAGGCCCTGTTTCCCGCTCTTTTGGTAAAGGGCCTTCAGACCCTTGTCCTGCTTCTGCACTGGTGGTCACTGCTTTTAGTCCAGCTGCCAACATGCTATGGGGCTACAAGGATATTTCCTAAAGGTGTTTACAGTTTTCCACAAATGAGGACGCAAGTCTTAACAGTGATTTCAAACCATTTAAATAGGGTGACTAATTATATAAATTGTTGAAAAAATGTTTTATTTACTTATTATCCGTGCCAAGAACGAACACATTTGGGTATGTTTTATGACGCTGACAGAAGGTTTAAATTAGATCAATAAAACAGGAAGAGCAAATATAACCGCAAGTGGCAATTACAGGGGGCCGAGTGAAATGGCTGACCTTGGCCAAGACTGCTACAAACGTTAGTTAACAAAGGAGAAGAAACACCCACAGGCACATTTTTAAATTAAAATTTGCTTTTTGATTGTCTCATGGGGGACAGTCAGCTCTAAACAGAGTTAATGAAATGAATTTTAGACTTTTTTTACTGTACAGCAGAATGAATATTTACTGCGTCGCTTCTGTATACTGTCAGTATTTATCATTTGTCACAGATATCTTACAGCTTTCAAAATGGCTGCCATTCCTGGAGACTATTTTAAGACACTTTGTTTTTAGCACGGCTAGAACACATTGCTGGCTATTGCATTCACACGTCAAATGAAGTACCGGGCAGCTTTCCCATGTTTGTGTGATACCATCGTGACCCTCATTTTAACAGCTCTGGGACAAATTCATCAACACAGTGTGGCAGCACCTATTCCTAATATCAAAACCCATCATCGGTGGGCTAAAAGCAAAAAAAAAATATATAAATGGCCGCATGTACACTTGCCTCCTCTTCCCTTCCTGTTTCGTATTTCGATTAAAGCGAGGCGTCTGCGGGAAAACCGATACCCGCTTTTCACCGGACGAGGATTACGATGTCAACAGCAGCTCATGATTCTGTTTTAGGGGCACATCGGTGAAGGTATTACGCTATCGATAGGATGTTTACTGGGGTGAGAGCCCAGCCCGGAGTGCCGTTAAACGCGAGTGTTGTTAAGAGTGCAATAATAGAAAATTGGTTTATACTATCCTTTGTGTCTACTGCGGCGCACTGTCTGGACCACTGTCTGGACAGGAAAGAACCTGTTTATATTAAATCAATTTCCGAGCGCTGGCGAATCACCAGCGAAGTGGCCTAAGTGCACTTCATCCCCTTAAGAGTGAGGTTTTAAATACCAGGTACTTGTTACGCACCGATAGTGCCAGTCGCTGTTCTTGTTCGACAGAAACCCTGCAGATGTGTGGCGCATTTTCACTGGGTGCCTGTTTTTGACCATGGAATGAAAAGCGCGTAACATAAAGGAGCGTCTTTGGTAATTGTGTATCAGGAGGTTAAGGAGATCCGAGATGGTAGCTGTAGCTCTCATACGAGGCACTCGCTTTGAAATGGCGTTCCATTACAGCCATGCCAAGAGGATGACAGCGGACATAAATTGATCTACAAGCAAAGCCGGCTCCCGCCGCAGACTGTAATGGTCCGAGGCGGCCTATCTGGGGGATGGACACTCAGCCGGCCATCGAAAACGAGGTCTAACTTGCGAATCGTTCTCCTGGGGATCATTCCAGTTGCCACTGGGCGCTGATATTAAATAAAACACAGAGGGCTGGCAAACATTAAAATCACGCTGACTGTGACGTTTACAGAAACATGGGAAATGTGGCCCAGGTTCCGTTCCTGGGTCTGGGGCCTTCAGCTCCGTTACGTTTGGTGGTCCTTTATTTAATGTTTCCTAAAGGGTATTTCTTTGTACTCGCTGAATGACCCGGGAGAAGACAGAAGATTTAATGGCTCGTAAGGAGATTTAAACAGCTGTGTCTTCGCCGCCGCTGTCAGTGGCCATTGCGTGCCATTCGAGAGGCCAGGAGTCACTGACGTACACTTACATTTAGCTGATTTAACCGCTGGTGGAGATAAAAAAAAAGATAAAAAGGAAGCAGAAATGTGAAGGTCAAAAATCTTGGCCTAAATTAGCGATAAGCGTGTTTAGCTACTGCTTATCCTCAGACTAGGTCTCCATGGAAACTACTTCCTGTTGTCCTATTCTCTTTGTGTTAGTAAACCTATGTGTGTATTATTGCTGCTTAGACAATTGCCTTTTTCACTATGATGATATAATTTCATTAACATTACGTAATATTTCTTGCACATCAGTGAATGTTAACATCAATTGCCTTGAACTGATGAATTAAATATAATAATTCTGGGTTTAAAGTTTCACTCAGAAATATTAAGCGATTAGTTGTCATTGTTGACACACCACAGCACAACAAAATGTCTTCTCTGCATTTAACCCATATGTGTCATCGTGCCATAGTAGCTAATTCAGTGCCTGGGGAGCAGTGCTTGGGGGCAGTAATCCTTATTCCACCACTGTATTTGCACTAAGGCTGCAAGCCTATCCAGGATGTAACCTGACCCTGAGCCCTGCCTCTGGCCCTGTGTATCAAGGCACATTGCGACCCGGTGCTGGATAAGTGTGTAGGTGGATGGATGGATAGTTTGTGTAATGTAAACCTATAATTTACATACATATTTTCCCACCTTGTACGTGTTTTATTGTAACATTTTTAAAAGAATGATGGGAATATAAGTTGTTTACTATTTGGTCTTACGTTTGATGCAGCTTCTCCATGACGTATTTGATGATGTAGAGGGGTGTGGGTATTTAAGATGGCTCTCCCGCGTGGCTAATGACCTGCGCGCAGCGTAGCCCACTGAGGGTAGCGTGCAGCCCACCTCTCCGCTTTCACATGGCTTCAGTCCTGCGCCCTGCTGACACGGCCTGGCGAGCGGAGGGTGAGCTGACCGAGGCCCTGCCTGATACCGTTAGCAAGCTCCGCTAATACAGCTGTCAGTAATTGTGTGCGGTATAGAATATGGGCACTGTTGTGTCTTATGACCAATAAGGCATTCTCTGCTGAGCAGATCTGTAACTATTATTCATTATCGTATTCACTTTTCTGAGGAAAGTCCTACAGGCAATGGCGAGGTCAGCTAAAGTATTATTTGGGGTGACAGAAACTATAGCAAAAATGATTTTCAAACGTGGACAAAGTAATTTTTCATGTACCACTAGCTTTTAGATGTAATAAAACTAGTGTTGTTTTTATAGCTTAAATGAGTGAATTTATGTGGTATTATTAATTAATATTGTTATATTATTACTGTTAGTAATAAAAATGGCTTGAAGACATGTTACATCACAGCTGGACTTCAGGTGAAAACAACGAGTGTTAGGTCTGTGTTTTTATACTGGGGGGTGAAGTTGGAATGCTCGGAATAACCACCGTGGAATTTCCAGTAGATTGTCCCACGGTTCCCAGGTATTCCAATTCGGCAAACTCCTCGACGGACCTCAGTGCCTCTTAATGACTCCCCTTCATAAGCAAACGGAGATAACAAGAGTGGAGCCCGCCGAAAGCCGGGCGCAAATCCGGGGAGGGCCGTGATTGAAGAACCTTATTAAAAGCAGCCTTGTAGAGTGGCGCACGTGACGGGCGCGCATTACGATGCCTGATCCCTTTCAAACGACGCCACGGTACCCCGAACAGGCAGGGGGAAGAGAGAGGAAAAAAAACCTGATTAGAGTGACAAGCACTGAGTGATACTGCAAACCTGTTAATAACATGAAAATTAGAAGAGGCTCATGCAAAGAAAGGAGATTAATTTAGCCGAGTCCATCTCGCGCAAATTGCGAAGTTGTGAATATGTTCTCATATAATGAGGCTTCCTGCTTGTCAGCCCACTTGTCATCTCCTGTAATTAATGTTAAGGAAGACTCCTTCCTGATGGTTCGTATTACTCATGTACCAAGAAAATTTCTTCGGAGAAATAATTTACATTTATTATCATCAGTCTGTTTGTGTGGTGTATTTGGCGCTGCAGTAATTTATTGCAGCACCATTTCGCGCGCCTTGATTAGTCACTCGTCAGACTGAGATGTAATTTTTTCTTCAGATGTCTGGGGCTGGGAAATTGAAAGTGTTGCTGCATCACATCAGGGCTCCTGCCCGCTCCACCTCTCCCTCGCCTCCCTCCCTCCCTGCTCCTTGCGCCTCCTCCCTGCTCCCCGTGCCTCCCTCCCAAACCAGTGGGGCTGCCATCCAAGCTGAGGTGCCCTGCTGGAGATAGATGCCACCGCTCTCTACAGGTCTGGATCCGGG